CCCCCTCCCCCAAATGTATTTTAACAGCACATAAGCAGTAGAAGGCACAAAGACAGAGCTGCTGGGAAGCCGCCTAAACCTAAATACAGCCCTTACAACAAACTCCAAAAGGGAACACATCCTCTAGGGGTAAGCCAATCACGTTTTTATTTCACTTTTATTTTAACCCTGCTGAGTAGGGTTTTTAGAAAATGTAAGTGGAAAAATGTTTAAAATGAGAGGAACAGTGTAAGCAATGGGAGTATACAGGTGTCTGAATGAGCCCATGGAAGCCCACAAGGGACTTTATATATATTTTGATGGGTGTGGACTACAACCCATGGTCCTTGTTTTCTGTAGCTACTCTGAATAACCTCAGAAAAGAAGCTTGTTTCCAAGGTCATTAGAGAGCAACAGACGAAAGAAACGTCCAGATGTCAAACAGGATTTTTCCAGTTTTCACCAAGGACAATAGTGATGAAACGACTAAATAAAACATAAAACCTTTATCCTTATTCAGAAAATTATTCAGATAACAATTTAAACAATTAAAAAAATCCATCTCTCATTTCATTCCACTCAGTTTCAGGATGGTTCTGGTCACATTTTCAACTGCCAGGATAAACTATCTGAAACACAGTTCTTATTAGCTTCAAAAACTGAGAAAAAGGTTTACTTTTTAATAAAAAACCCTGCTAGGATCCTGCCATTAGTTAAGAAACAGCTCATATTGTGGGTGGGATAGTGAAACATCTGACATTTATCTCCATCAGATAAACTGCATGATTGTTTTATGTGCCATGGTGTTTTGTAAGGGTTTATAGATGGTTTTGGCAGGGGGAGGATGTTGATTCATTGGCCTCATAGAGATTAGCCCCTTATTCCTTGACCATCTTCTCTAATGCAGGCAGAATATGGAGCTTTTTTCTGTGAAAACCCAGTTCTCTTTAAGTTGAGTTAAAGCTCTTTTCTTGACAACAGAAAGTATGTCCTTGTTGGGGCAGCCCTCATGATAGGTATATTCATGCACGATTCAGTTGGGTAGGAGCATAATCTAGCATATGCTAGATGTTGTAGCATAATGCAGTGCACCATTCTGGTACATCCACTAGTGGGGAAATAGCCCCATAGGGTTTTTCAGTAATCCACCAGGAAGACCAAGGTCTCCAATACATATAAGCTATGCTGAAAGGAATAGAAAATATGTAATTAGGTAAGTAGGGTATGGAATCACTAAAGCCTCTCTGACAGGGTTATTATTCCTTTAGGAAATTCTTTGTTTCCCAAGGGATGAAAATAACTATTACGTTACTGTTGGTGTTGTGCACAGTTCTCTATTTGCCAATTTATGTAATGGTGACTTCTGAGAACTCCAGGCAAAGATCAAGGCATTTAGTTGCTGCATAGACGAATAAAGGCAACATGTCCTTTTCCTGCTCCCTCACTCCCAATTGCTCACAATATACAAGTCAGTCCAGAGGTGAGCAAAGAGGCAAAGGGGATTTAAGAAGGAGTAGGACAGAGGCTACACTGGGAAAGGATAAGAGCAGTTCTCCATTTAGTCTTTTTGGTTTTGAATAGAAAAAATACCAAAATTGCTGTCACTTGAAATGCAGAATGGCATAGCAACAAGCCAAAGATGTGCTAATTTTACTTTGTATGTAAATGTTTTAGATGAGCTGCAGACTTTTTCTTTACTCTCTGTTAATTTTTCAAGTCATTTACTGTCCCTTAGTTTACTTCATTGAAAAGGAAACAAGTAACGGCTACGTTACTCTTAATGTTGACCTGTGTGTTAATTAGTACTTGCAGAGACATTTGAAGTGAAGGCGCAACGTAGTGTATATACTAAATATTACTGCTTTTGCAGCTATCTTGAACAGAACCATGTTGTGTTGATAAATTGACTGAAAAGCTATCTAACTTCATTAGAAGTTCCTGATTCCTCCAAGAATGGCAAGATCACAGAATCACAGTTAATATAAAGTCACGTAAGATCTTTGGTCTTCATGACAAAAAATGTATGAGCATCACCAAATTTTTTTTCTACAGAAGTTAGAAAAAGGACATACTACATTTTCATAGCTTTTCTAGACGAAAAACTTTCCAATGCCATGTTTTCAATATCATCTGTACTCCTTTGTCTAGTCTAGTTTTGCAGGCTTCAGAGAAAGAAGCTTTATGAATTCCCACAGTACTATTTCAGAGTTAAGAAATCTTGTAATGTTGGGACTTACTTGATATTTCTTTAAGCCACAAATGTCCAGCATGTATAAAATACTACACTGGAGAGAAAGAGGTTATCAGGCGTTATCAGTCCAAACTTTCTGCAGTAAAATAGCTCTTATGAAAACATCCTTCACTGGGAATTCTTGACCACAATTAGAGTCCTGTTCTTTTTTTTTTTTGAGGGAGAGGGTTTTTTTCTTGTCTGTTCTAAACAAGGCTGAAAAAAAGTATTTACTAAAAAATGTAAGGAATGAGGAAAAAGTCAAATGCTCAGAATAGAAAAAATACCAAAATTGCTGTCACTTGAAATGCAGAATGGCATAGCAACAAGCCAAAGATGTGCTAATTTTACTTTGTATGTAAATGTTTTAGATGAGCTGCAGACTTTTTCTTTACTCTCTGTTAATTTTTCAAGTCATTTACTGTCCCTTAGTTTACTTCATTGAAAAGGAAACAAGTAACGGCTACGTTACTCTTAATGTTGACCTGTGTGTTAATTAGTACTTGCAGAGACATTTGAAGTGAAGGCGCAACGTAGTGTATATACTAAATATTACTGCTTTTGCAGCTATCTTGAACAGAACCATGTTGTGTTGATAAATTGACTGAAAAGCTATCTAACTTCATTAGAAGTTCCTGATTCCTCCAAGAATGGCAAGATCACAGAATCACAGTTAATATAAAGTCACGTAAGATCTTTGGTCTTCATGACAAAAAATGTATGAGCATCACCAAATTTTTTTTCTACAGAAGTTAGAAAAAGGACATACTACATTTTCATAGCTTTTCTAGACGAAAAACTTTCCAATGCCATGTTTTCAATATCATCTGTACTCCTTTGTCTAGTCTAGTTTTGCAGGCTTCAGAGAAAGAAGCTTTATGAATTCCCACAGTACTATTTCAGAGTTAAGAAATCTTGTAATGTTGGGACTTACTTGATATTTCTTTAAGCCACAAATGTCCAGCATGTATAAAATACTACACTGGAGAGAAAGAGGTTATCAGGCGTTATCAGTCCAAACTTTCTGCAGTAAAATAGCTCTTATGAAAACATCCTTCACTGGGAATTCTTGACCACAATTAGAGTCCTGTTCTTTTTTTTTTTTTGAGGGAGAGGGTTTTTTTCTTGTCTGTTCTAAACAAGGCTGAAAAAAAGTATTTACTAAAAAATGTAAGGAATGAGGAAAAAGTCAAATGCTCAGCAAGGGAAGAAGACAGCTTGGATCAGTGAGTGTAACACTGATCAAGGAAAAGATCAGATCATTGCTTTTCATAAGCACCATGAGGAATTTTGTGTCTAGCATCCATTATGTCCTCCATTAAGAGAATTACAGAATCTGGTCCCCTCTGAGTTTCTCTCCCAGAGCTTTAAAAGACATTGAGGCCATCAGAGTTGCCAGTGGGTATTAGGAAGATTCAAAATCCTGTATCCATCTGGCTGGTAAAGAACCAACAGATTTTTTGGAATATGGTGATAGTGTAATGATGAAACTCGCTGGTGGTTCATGCCAGACTACTCCTGTCCTTACTTTCTGACTATTCACTCACCAAGATACTGTTGAGTGGAAAGTATCAGACTGATATAGTGCAAGTTAATTATTTAAAAGCCCCTTTCAATTCAAGGATGAGAAATTGTGTTTCCCTGTGAGTGAGAAGTGTCCATACTTACACTGAGATGTACCACAGCATGGTACATATATTCATATTCTGTATATTCAATACCACATATTCAGGCTTATGTTCTTTGCAAAGGGCCTCAGATCATGCCAGGACACAGATCCACCAAAAGTCCATCAGAGCCAATGGGAACTTTTCTTTGTCAGTGGATGAGGTTTCTATTCTTATCTCAGAGTTATAAAACCAGAACAAGAAAGGCATTCAGGTTCCTAGCTTCTCATTAGAAACTTGAAATCCCATCGAAATCTGCAGAAATCTAGATAGACTACTCTGATGTTCATTTGTATGCATACCAAATTTAAATTCTCTTAAATAATAATGGACCTCTGTGAGTATTTTCAGTCTGGGAAAAGCTTGAGTTTATCTTTTTTCTTTTTGGAAACTCTAAATGAGGGGTTTTTCAAATTCTATTTGGTAGTACACAAGACTCATGATTTAAACATTTTTAAAGCAGAAGCCTCAGTGACAGTAACAAAAATACCATGGTTTGGCACCATACTAAATGATATAGGCAAGAGTTTTTCATGACAACATTTTAAAACATATGCCACTTTTTTCACAGTCCTTGTAGGAATGAACAGTATCTTGGTAAAAAAACATTTGAAGACACAGCAAGATGACATAGGACAGCACCCATAGAATTCATCACCTATTTGAACATATGAAACATTAGGAGATTTTCATAACCGGTGCAAGATAAGCTTTGTTTATTTGCTTGTTATTAGAGGCAGGAGCTAATAAAGAGGAGCTAGCTGGAGATCTTAATTTTAAGTAGAACTTGCATCCTAATGATAAAACCAAAAGTACCTTCTCAGCCAGACCAGGGAACAGGATATGTTTTCATTCTGCTTTGGTCTCTATCATAAAGCTGTCCAGATGGAGGTCTTTTAATTGATAGCTAATTCTTCTTTATTTATATCTTGCAGGGTACATGCAGCTTTACTTTGGTGCAGATTGCCCAGCCCCTTTTTAGGTTTGCTTTGATTTCTAATCTCGTATTAAATTTTAAGTCTCAGTGATAAGGCATGAACATTGAAACTCTGTCCCCAACCAAATCCTGCTCACCCTTGTCCAATGCGTGAGATCATATCTCCAAGCCTGCAGCTCGTAGAGTCAGTAGCCACTACAAGGCCTCTCTTACTTGATTTTGCACTTACAATCTTAAGTCAAATTCCCTGTTGTGTAGCTAATATGAACAAATTATGTCTCTCTGTTTGTTTGTTTTGTCTCTTCCCCACAGGTAAAATTAGTATTTTCAAAGGAACCTTCAAAGCCGATGGCTCCACGAATCTTACCAAATCCGCTAGCAGCTGCAGCAGCAGCTGCTGCTGTGGCTGTGAATTCCCCCTTCAGTCTTCGAACAGCCCCAGCAGCCACCCTTTTCCAGACTTCAGCACTTCCTCCAGCACTCCTACGACCAGCTCCAGGGCCTATACGGACCACCCATACTCCCGTGCTGTTTGCTCCTTACTGAACTCCAAACAGGAATTAATTGTACTGCAATAATTTTTCAAATCAAAACAAACAAACAAAAAAGAAAATCAAGAACATTGAACTATGCAGTGTTTATTTATAGTTTAAAGTATATATGAAGAGCCAGGACTTTTGATAGAGAACTGAACAAATTCTAAAAGGGGGAATGGGCAGTATTTTCTCCAGATGAGAACATTCCTCTTGAGTATTGATCGTTTTAGAACTGATCTCCAGCATTGACTTGTAGTGACATATAAAACTTATGAAGCCTTTTGACTGTGCTTTTTGGCACATATTTCCCTGCAATGTCTTTCCTGCTTTATGAAACAACTTACAAATTTGTCTAAAGGGCATTAACTGGTTCCAATGTACATAAAATACTTTATTCTGTAGATTAAAGAAGAAGGAAAAAAAAAGAAACACTGTGAATAGTAGTACCCTTACCAATCCTCCTGCCAAATCAGCAGTTACTGGGTATTTATCTGAACAAAAGTAGATACAATAGATGTCTTGTAAAACAGTAGTATTGTGTCTCTATCTATGCCACTAGGTTTCTAACAGAGTTGCAAAAGATAAAATAAACAAATTACGTTGCTTTGGTAAGCAGTCAAAAATGATGACAATAATGTGGAACTGTTCCTGGTGAGCAAAAATTGTTTTCCTCACCCGTAGAGGAATGGGTGTGAAGATAATCTATGGTTACAGCAAAGTAAATGATAAAGAAGATTTAGTGGGGGAAGAAAGAAAAAATCCAGATGCTGTACACAGAATAGGTCGAACTTTTATTTAACTGAGAATGTATGTGTACAGTGTGTGTATATTCAAAAGGTGCAATACATACAGGATAGATCAATGTTTAAGGCATGCCAGTGGACAGCAAAAAATACACTCTTGTCATGAAACAGGCCTGACACTTTGGTGTTGAGCAGAGGGAAGACACAAATGGGTTACACATAGTCATAACTAGCGAATGAAAAGCAGGAGAGAAATCCTGGCCTCATTTAAGTCAGCATGAGGTTCCTCCTGACTGCAGTGTAGCCAGAATTTCATCCCAAGAATGGCACATATTCTTTTTATATCACACCAGTGGGAGAGTCTGTAGATACAGGTAACATTTTTTGCAATAGGCTTAGTCTTAGAAACAGATTTATTCTCTTGTTTTATTTCCTACTGATGTGATATAAAATGTCTTAATAGACCTATAAAATGTAAACAGCAACACATGAGATACATATTGCGAGATAACTGCACATCGTGGGTTTGGAACAAATACAACCTTTAGGATCTGAAGGGACCCTTGAATTCTGTAGCTGACCTTTATGTATGGACAGCTTAAAGCCTTATATATTTACTGTGAGGCTTAAAGGGGTTGACTGTGTCCCTTTAAAGTAAGATTTATCAGGGGTATATATAGATATACTGTATATATGTTAGAGTAAGAAAAATAACTTATAAACAGAAAATCTACTATATAAAATAATTATATAACCATTGAGTTTCACATGTGGGTCATTAAGTGGTAAGTAACAAACAGCAGAGAAAAAAATAGACTTCTTGAATCTGATTCTTGCCGCCTGCTTTTTCCCATAGGGAGCTGAAAAGTATCTATTAATATTATGGAGTGCGCTGCTGAGTCACGTGCGACCACTCTGATGTGTAGCTAAGTGAAATGCCTACCATACATTTAGGAGGAATAAAATTTAAAAACATAATTTAAGTTTAGATGGGGAAATTATTTGAAAGATTTTATTAAAAGGTAGTAATGCAAAATATTGACCATGTGGTTGCTATATAATACTGCCTGTGGTTAATATGGACAGTTGAGAGATATAGAGGATGGGAATATACAGCACTTTTGACTTGCAGTTCATCAGTGAGCCTTCCATATACATTGGTATTTGCCATTTTTTAAACCTCTCTGCATTTAGATTTTATAAAAAAATATATATAAAAAGAGAGAAAGAAGAGGTTCCATGGATGTCTGTGTCCAAAGAATTCCAAAGAGATGCATTTATTTATCTAGAAGTATTAAAATAAGTTCTATATTATGTATTTGTATTTCATCCAGTTTATTTGCAAACGTTTGTGCCTTGAAATGAAATGGGCTTTTGATTATACTTAATTCACTCCTATGTAGCCATGAAAAAGATGCGATGGTGATTTCAGGGCTGGTTACTAGCTGGATTGCTTTGGCCCAATTTCCAAAACAAGAAGAGTATGAGTAAGTTCCTGAAGCCAAGTTTAGGCACCTAAATAACTAGGGGCTGACATTTAAAAGGGCTCCCTACTCTACAGCTCCCAGTAAAGAGGCAGTAAACAGGCCAGCCTTCAAAACCTGCACCTACCACTCAATTTAGAAAATGTTTCCTTTTATTTGGGTACATAAATATAGCGTAGTAACGTTCCACTCCTCTTTGCAAAACCTTGGCTTTGGTCTTTCAAGCCTGCTTTCAACCTTCCATCTTTTTGCAGAAGTTGTAGTGCCATTGCCAGCTGTGTTCAGTTTCCTCCTTGAATAGGGCACCGGTTTTCAAGCTGTGCTCCATGAACCACCGTTTTATCTCCAGAGCCTTTTGTAATAGACTGTGTAAGTAAGAGCTTGCTAAATGAGCAGAGGAGGACTGGCGTTTTGGGAAGGGAGAAGGTCTGGGAAGGCGATCTTTTCCCCATGAAAAAAATACACAGATGGGAAAAGGGGAGACCCACAAATAACCTGTAGGCTCTTATGCATGGCCTTCTGGTGCATGGACACCTCCTGTACATCCTGCCATGTTGTTGTGATGCCATCAAAATCAACAGGCTGATCCTTGCCAAAATGTGGCCTGTGGCATGTATGGAGGCACAGTACTAAGGGCAGAGTCAATACAAGTTTTGCTAGAAATAAAGAGAGTGTCATTCCAACTACTTACATCAGCTAATTTGCAATGACACCTTCAGTTTTCTTGGACCTCTTTTGTCACAGTGCTCTATGGAACAAGTTTTTGTTCACACAAGTCTCTTTTAAATTTCAGCTGTAAACAACAAATTCAATTCTTTTTATGTCTCTTACTCACTACCTAATAAAGGATAAAGCCTAAATGTTAGAATGTATAGTGGATTTTCTGTGCCTTGCTGTTCCACCACCCTCTTGGTCAGTAACAAGTCAACTTACCCGGTATGTCAGCACAACAGTTTTATTTTTTATATATATATATATATATGTCAAGGAAAATACTGGCACAGTGATCTGATTGGGCAAGGGCAGCTTCCAGTCAAGGGTATGTCCACGGTAGCTGACAAAGGAGCTAGCAAACAGAAGACATTGTACACCTACTTACCAATACATCCAATATGGAGAGCACTATAAAAGAAAAATGTGTCATCATATTTCATATTACAGTAACACTCCAGGGCCAAGAGGAAGCCTAAAGCACAAGGAAACAGGTCGTTTCATCGAAGACACAGTCACTGGAATAACAGTGTGAATCAGCCTGCAGGGAAATGGCTGGGTATGAACTCAGAAAAACAAATAGGTTCAGGGATGTTTTCTTAAATTCCATACAAAGTGTTAAAGAATGACTATTCTGTTCTGACTCAAAGAGATGGTATTTTTGTGGGAGGGATATATATATATTTATATTTTTACTCTATCTGCATTTTTCCAACTATCTCTGGCTTCAAACCTTTGTTCTGAAGGATCATCATTGTTCTGAACCATGAAATCAGTTACCTTCTTGAAAGCTGCTGTAAAAGCTGATGTGAGAGGTCAGTAAGCAAATGGTATAAGTATGATGACCTAAAATGAAAAAAAAATGAACCGGCCATGTCAAGGAATATTGTATTTGAAAAGTATACATCTTTATTTTAAGATAAATTAAAGTTATATAAAATTAAGAATAGCTAAATAAAGTTAATATAACTAGAAGAATTACATCTGTCATTTTAGTACTGGAATATTATAATTGGCTCTGTATTTTAAAAGATGAAAAGACTTTTTAGATGCTGGATCAATGCAAGGATGCTATGGGTAAAGTTAATGTCTCACACTCATTATCTTCCAGTTACACCAGGAATACCATAACTGAATGGACCTGCCCTGAGTCACTTCTATTCTAATCCCCGAAGATACAGTAGAGCATTGGCCCGATATTTCCTGAAAGCTAAAATCATGCTTCTTAGGAGCCCCTGCTTCTGCCTTGTGCTCCCAGTAAACGCATAGTTTTGAGAGTCTCTTCAAAGCATCTTGGGGAATTTCTATCTTAATATCTCTCATTTTTTACAAAAATAAATGTCATTTTATGAACATAGGACCAAAGCTGAGGAGCAAGACCTGAAAAGGTTTCTTCATGATTACAACATTCTTGTGGCTAAATACAAAGCACAGATACCCAAATTGTTTGGCTGCACAAATCTCTCTGCAAACATGTGAAGTCGGAAGCCTAAACCACTTTATAAGGAATCTGTTCTTTTTATTATTATAGGTGTCTGAATTTCCATTTTTAAAATTTACTTCAGCACAGTTCAGGCTTCAGGGCTCCAAGCACCTAAAGCTCACAAGAAAATAACCGTGGGCTTCCTATTTACCTACATGCATGTGAAAATGTGAGTCTATGCTATGTAAAATATTACAGATTTTTTTTTTTTTACATCACATCTTCCCTTGTTCTCATTGTTTATCTGTAAGTGCCATTACTTCAGTGCCAGTGAATCATACAGAAGCTTCTGTGCCGGTATTCAGTGCGTGACTGAAAGAAATAGTAATACTGATAAATGCTGTCTTAAACTAGTCAAAACCTCAAACACACAGTTAAGGGTTTAGTCAAGGACAAGAGCTTTATGCCCTCTCACACCTACAGGTTTATTAAAATTCAGGACCATTTAGGAATAAATGTAACTATCTGGAAGATGGTTATTACATAGCCTGATCTGAAATGTCAGGGCCTGAAAGAGTCTGTGCTCCAGACCGAAATTAAGAACACTATGAAAACCATAATGCTTTTAACTCTGGGACTCCTGAAAGCAGTTGCAAAGATCTTTGACTTCAGTAGAGGCAATTTTTTGCCCTGGGTGCCTGAGGCCTTTTGCAGTCATGCTGCGTACTGCAATTAGGTGTTATTCAACTCTGATTCAGTATTGATATATTGATAAAGAAACTAAGCTGAGCCTGAAACATGATTAGTAGCTACCTAGTTCCTGTGATCAGTTTCATGCTGGGACAATGCTTGGGTGGTGAAATAAGAAGAGTCAAAAGAGTCAATGTAAAGAAACTGGCAAACTAATTTGATCCCTTT